GGAGCACAGAAGTTCCCCGAGTGTCTGTAAACCAACGCTGGTATTGACTGTTTTCTGATTCACGTCGTTCACCTTATTCATTCACTCCTTCACAAGTCTAGGAAACAGAGGTCCCACACTGGACGCCTCATTCCGTTGCTTACGGGGTGATCGTGGGTGAGAAATTCCATTTCTCTCTGGCCTTGGTTTCGGCATCTGTAATAGGAGATGACAGCTCTGGCTCGTGGGTGTCCAGGTCTGAGAAATCCTGTGATGATGAGGCATCACGTAGAGCCTACGGCAGTGCCGGGGGGCTAGGGACTGGTTAGGAGCAGGAGCAGCCGAAAGTAGGGCAGGCTGAGGACCACCAGGGGCTGGGAGCAGCCCAGCAAGAGCTGCACGCGTCTGAGCCCTTCATGTCTGTGGCTTTGGGGCGGGTAAATTTGTGGTGGGGAGAGAACACTTGTCTAAGAAGGTGTCCCCGGGCCCGTGTGCACGGGAGGCATCGCTGGCACTGATTCCATGCTCAGGTGGAATTCCAAGGGTCCTACCTGCCACTTTGGGGCTCCCTCCTGTCCTCGCTGCCTCCTCCCCAGGGGGTGCTTGGAGCTCCAGGAGCCAGTCTTTTGAGAGACCACCCTTGCCAGAGCAGGAAGCACCAGGGGAGTAGAGCGTACGCTTTCCTCGCGGGCTCCACACCCTCCTCCTGCCAGCCACAGCTTCTCCCCGACCCCCGCCCATCCCCCAGCCCTGCGCCGGCCTGCTCGAGCGCGCCCATGCCATCGTGCACACTGGAGCTGGGCCGGGTGCCAGTCAGACAGGCTGACATCACAGACAGGCACAGCCAGACTTGGAAGCAGCCAAGTACGGTGGGGCCTGCACAGCCACCTGCTCCCCTGGGCCAACCGGGGCAGGGCTGATCCCTGCTGGGAGCAGGCAGCTGGCAGGCACCAGGATCCCAAGAAATCTCCCCAGTGCCATGCAGCCTGGTCCGTCCAGTCTCCCCAGGCAGCAAAGGACACTCATCCCTGGCTCCCCCACTCCTGACCTCAGTGACCTCTCTGAGTCTCCCCCGGGGCAGGCACAAGGGCCCACCCACCAGACCTGGTCTTGGGGACGCTGGCTCTGCTCACACACGGTGTCCCAGCCCTACAGCCCGGGGCCTGGAGCAGCCAGAGGGACGTGCAGAGCACCCGCTCTGGGACCCGTCACTTTTCTCTGCAACTGGCACCCCGCTTCTCGCTCACTGACGAAGTGGAACAGACAGGAACACATGCTTCAGACAAAGTCCTCCCCTGAGACAACGCACAGAAAAGAGGCCTGCTTTGGTTGAAGTGGAAGTGGGGGCCAGGACCCACCCAGTTTTGCCTGCATCCACACCCTTGTCTCCCTCCCCGCCCGCACAGTGGTCCCTGTGAGGCAGTGCGCCTGGGTGGTTAGGGGCATGGACTCTGGAGCTGGGTGGCCTGGGTTTGAAAAGTGCCTGGCCCTGCCACTTAGTGTCTGGGTAGCCTTAGGCAAGTACTTGGCCATGCCTCAATTTCCCCATCTGAAAATAGGGCTCTTGGTAGTATTAACACCTGCCTCGTGTGACCGCTATGAGTTAATGAGTTAATCAATGAGTTAATGAGTTAATCAATGAGTTAATGCAGGTAAAGCACTTAGAACAAGGCCTGCACATGCTAATCGTCTAACAAATATTAGAGAAAGAAAATTTGTTTTTAAAAATTGAGTCTGAAGACGACTTGTGCCATGGCAAGGAACCCAGGGTCTCCAGGGGGTGGGCCTGAGTCTGCGTCGGTTTCTCACTCACCAGCTGTGTGTCCTGGGACCTCGGCTTCCAGGCCTCAGTCTCCACATCTGAGCAGTGGGTGGCACTCCCTTATTCTGAGGACCGTAGACAGAGTTCGGGGACCCGAGCCCCGCCGGGCGGGGTGTGCGGCGCTTGGTCCCTTGTGTGCCCAGTAACCGTGTGCGCGTCACCCCTTCTCTCCCGCCCAGAAATCCAAGATCTCCACCTTCGAGAAGATGTGGGCCTTCATGAGCAGCAAGCCCTCGGCGCTGGTGAAGAACAACGAGGAGGGCATCCAGAGGACCCTGACGGCCGACTACGCGCTGCTCATGGAGTCCACGACCATCGAGTACGTCACCCAGAGGAACTGCAACCTCACGCAGATCGGCGGCCTCATCGACTCCAAGGGCTACGGCATCGGCACACCCATGGGTGAGCGGGGGGCTGGAGGCGGGCGGGGGTGTGCATAGCACGTGGGCGTGTCCCCGAGAGGTGGCGGCTCCCGAGCCCAGGAGCAGCGGTGGAGCCCCGTGCCTCTCGAGGCCGGCTCTGGCCTAAGCAATGAGGACTGGGCAAACACAGGTGGGGGTCGGTCCCTAGCAGCCATGCAGACCCACCTGTCACCACCCCTGCTGACGCAGCGCAGGTACAGTAGGGACAATGCCCAATGGGCAAGGCTCCCCTCCCCAAATCAGGACACCTCCACTCCAATCAGATACCTTATACAGATTAAAGGGGGGCTGACAGTGATAGGGTCCCCCTTTTTAAGAGCTGGCTGAGGGGCTAGTGCTGGTGGCTGGCACTGACCAAGGTGTTGGCAGGACAGGCGCATGGTGGGCCAGGCGCCACTGACAGCCAGGGCTCCCCTCTCCCTACCCAGGCTCCCCGTACCGGGACAAGATCACCATTGCCATCCTTCAGCTGCAGGAGGAGGACAAGCTGCACATCATGAAGGAGAAGTGGTGGCGGGGCAGCGGGTGTCCCGAGGAGGAGAACAAGGAGGCCAGTGCCCTGGGCATCCAGAAGATCGGGGGCATCTTCATCGTCCTGGCCGCCGGGCTGGTCCTGTCTGTGCTGGTGGCCGTGGGCGAGTTTGTGTACAAGCTCCGCAAAACAGCAGAGAGAGAGCAGGTGAGCCCGGAGCTGGGGCCTGCACAGGGCAGGGAAGGAAGGAGATGAAGAGGCTTGTGCTGGTTTCACCCTTCTACGTGCCAGGTGCACCATGGTGTCTTGTCTCACCCTCTTAACAGGCCACCCTACATCCAGTCCACCAGCAAGGGCTGCCGGCTCCACCTCTGCCCTCATGAGCATGTTTTCCCGTCACTGTCGCCCACCCCAAGCCAGGCCCCCATCACCTCCTGCTTGGATTACACCACAACCCCCAAACTGGCCTTGCAGCCTCCACACTTCCCCGCTGCCATCCACAGTCCACACAGCAGCCAGTGCCCTGTTTAAAACTGAATTCAAACCATATTATTTCCCTGCATAAAACCCTCGAGGGTAATTGTTGAAGGTGGGTGATGGTTGCATAGGGGTTCATTATACTGTTCTCTCTACTTTTGCATATATTTGTAAATTTCCATAATCAAAAGTTGAAAACAGAGGAGTGAAAACCCGCGGTCAGCCCGAGCGTACAGATGGCAGAACCAGGCTCCAGCCGTCTGATTAATTCAAGCATGGTTGGGCAGTGGTTCTGGTCCCAGTAGCCAATTAGAATCACAGGGAGAAAGTTTTTAAGTGCTAATGCCCTGGCTTCATTCCCGGAGACTCTGTGTTTTAATTGGTCTGAGGTGGAGCTGGCATTGCCATTTTAAGAAAGCCTACGGGGCGATTTGAATGTGCACCTGTGTTGAGGGCTGCTGGGCTGGGGGGCCGCATCTCTCATGGAGAAGTTCAAAGCGGTCCGGGTCCAGCGTGCAAGGAGATTGGAGTTCAGCCCTGTGCAGAGAGAACATTATAAACAAGCAGCCGACATATCCACCGAAACGAAATGGCGTCCTCTGTCACCACCAAGCCTGAGTCGACAAAGAGGAGGGGGACAGTGATGTCATACTGGGTGTCAGAGTCAGCGAGGGTCTCAGGGAAGGGACACTTCCCAGTCTTGTGGAGGGGAGTCCAAGCAGTCCGTCTCTGGAAGGCAGCCTCACAGCAGGTTCAGAGGCTTTCAAAGTACCCACACGTTTTGACCAGTCGTGTTCTATTTTTAAAAACGCACCCTGTGGAAGTAGTCGAAGATATGTGCGGTTTTATTTACACGGAAGTTTGGTGAAGTGTTTATTATAACATGAAAAAATGGGGGGGGGACCTTTCAACAAATCAACAATAGAGAGTGGTTACAAAAGATTATGGCAGAGAAGAATAGCAGCCAGTGTCTAGGAATTCCCACCACAATCGGAACAAGCTCCGAATGCCACCAAAAAGCGCACGGGACCCAGCCCTTGCCCGGTTCTCTCTGACCCCGTGCACCAGCCTCCTTCTCGGCCCTCAACACCGAGCACATTCTGCCCGGCGCCTTCGCACCTGCCGCTTGGCAGGTCTCCTCCCCCAGAGGGCTGTGTTCTTGGCACCTTGTGGCCATTCAGGTTTCAGCCCAAATGTCACCTTCTCAAGTAGCCTTCCTTACCCGTCCCCATTTCCAGCCCCTCTTTGTCCCATGTCACTGCCTTATTCTCTTAATAGTAGCTATCACTATCTGAAATTCTTTCTGTCCACATGTTTGTTTCTTTCCATCCCATCATTAGACCACAAGCTCCCTGGGGGCTGGGACCCTATCCGCCTTCCATACTGCTACATGCCTAAGGCCTAGCAGTGCCTGGCACATAGTGGGGTCTCACTGGGTGTTTGTGGCCTAAAGAAAGGGCGTGAGAAGGGATGATATTCTGTATTTAGTAGGTGAGGACAGGGAAGCCTGGGGAGGTGACAGCTGGGAAGAGGCAGGGCCAGAACTCAAAGCCAGGTCCCTATCCCTCTGCATACCCATGGTCCTGGTGCTAATGTCCTGGCCTCTCTGAGTAAGTTGAGCCATCAGTTGTCCCCACTGCCATCCATATGGCATAGAAGCCACCACCATCAGACACCTGTGGGCAACAGAGCACTCTTGCTGTCCCTCTTGGCTACCTGCAGGGACCCAGACCAGAAGGAAACCACTGCCACCCACTGCCCTACGGGGACCTGCCTCCCAGTGCCCACCTTGGGAAACATGCTGGACTTTCCTGAGCGGGAGGACAGTGATTCCTCCCCTTAGTTGAAAGCCCTTCCAGGAAAAGGGATACCCACACATTCTACAAGTGTTTCTTGAGCCCTGACTGGGCCAGGCCTAGTGCTGGGGGTTGGGCTCATGCAATGAAACTGGCTGGTTCCTGCCCATCAGACAGGTAAACCAGAGCTCCAAAACTTTAATGTACTTGCCAAAAATGGGCAGAAGATGACAATACCTGCCCTACCTACCTCAGTCTCCAAACAAGAATGTAGGACTTTGGAAACTGCTTCCCAAACTTCTTGTAGAGGGGAGAGGGGCGATGAGTGGGATGAAGGTGTGAGAAAGATGGGTAGTCTTAGCGCAGCCTCTGGGAGGAAGGGGAGGAGTTGGCCAGGGCCAGGCCTCATCCGAGAATCCTTCTCTTCCCCTCCCGTCCCCCCGGCAGCGATCCTTCTGCAGCACCGTGGCCGACGAGATCCGCTTCTCCCTCACCTGCCAGCGCCGTGTCAAGCACAAGCCACAGCCTCCCATGATGGTCAAGACTGACGCCGTCATCAACATGCACACATTCAACGACCGCCGGCTCCCGGGCAAGGACAGCATGGCCTGCAGCACATCCTTGGCCCCCGTGTTCCCCTAGGCACAGGTGGGGTGGGGACCGCAGGCCCGGGGGCTGGGCGGAGGAAAGAAAGCAAAGGAGACGGGAAGGAATGTCCCCTGCCCCACGCCGGGCTTGGGGACCAGAGCTGCTGCCTGCCTGTTGGGCCAGGGCCCTCTGCCCTTACCTGCCAGGACACCAGCAGGCCCTCAGGCCAGTTGCTTAGGCTTCATTCTCCTCTTGTTTCTTCTATGGGTTTCTAAAGCTGCCAGCCCAGATAGCCAAGGCCAAAGGAAGCACATGCCTCTCTCGGGCCAAACTCACCTGCCCCTCGCCTCTCCTCTGGACTCAGAAGTTTCTGCCACTGCCCTGCAGAGGCCACAGAAAACGGGAAACAGCTCTTCTATTGCCATTCTGTCCCCAAGAGCCCAGGCCTCCTAGGGGCTGGCCATAAAGCCAGAGACGCAAGCCTTTGGTGCTTAAGGAAGTTGTAGCATGGTTGCCAGCAGGAGCCAGCGATGAGCGTGGCCACCCAGCTGCCTGGGCAGAAGGAAAGCGTCGTCTCTCAGCAGCTGTTCACACAGTCCTGGTCTTCTGGACATCGCACCACCCATGGCAGTCCCTATCTTGGCAAAGCTGAAGAAGGGGGAAGAGAGGAGTTTGGGGTATGAGGGAGAAGAGAACGCACAAATAGAGGCCACCGTTTTGGATTCTTACAGACAATGTCCCAGTGGCCCCCAATCCTCTAGGAGGTCTCTAGGAATATAAGTGGGGCAGCAGTCACGGAAAATTCATCTCCACTTTCTGGCCAGAGGAGAGAGGACCCCCTAAATCTCTTGCAAAGGATGCCCAGAGACTCAGCCGATATTCGAAGCCCAGCGGAAGAACAGCAGGTTGCATGGAAATCCCGCAGGCCCTCAAGCCGATGGATCTCACTTTGCTGGTTGGCGAGCTGTTTCCTAAGCCCTGCTGGCATTCGGGAACCTGGGCTCTTCGCCATCTACTCGTCAGCAACTCCCCGTTCCTGGTTGGTTGACCTTCACCTCCCTCTGTCTTCCTGGAAGAAGAAGAGTAGCTGAGATTGAAGTGAAAGTCAACTCACCCCTCCTCAAAAGAGGGGTCAGTGTCCCACTGCACAGGCCAACTTGGGGGTGGGTGAGGAACGCCAGAGGGGACCCAAAGAACTCCTGGCCTCCTGGACTGGCCAAACCTTAAGATGCTGTCCAGAAAAAAGAAAGTTTTCAGGGACAGGGTGTCACAGCTGGCAGAGGCCCCAGGGGTGGAGAGAGAGAAGCTGTTTCCTGGAGAATTAACCAAAGACCCCACGCAGAGACACAAGACCACCCTGGCCCTCGTCTCTAGTCCAGAGCAGCCGCGACCTTGTGGGGCTTGGGGAAGACAGCAGAGAAGTGGCGGCAGGTGGGGTATGAGCCGGGGGCTGGGCCCGATGATCCGGGGGTTCCAGCTTGCTGTGATGGACGCTGTAGAGGTGTGACGTTAAGATTCTTGGGAAAGAATGAGACATGAGGGTTAGGAACAAAGTGTCCTTAAAGAGAATGCAGTGGGGCCAGCAGGCCTGCTGTGGCCGAGGACAGAGGGCCGTCTCTGAGCAGGCACAGGAGGCTGGAGACTCTGGGCAGGGAAGCGGGGACACCAGCCAGCCCCTCCCACTTCTGTCCTGTTGCTGCTGGGAGCCTGTTAGGGAAGAGGGGCGTTTAGATCTCAAGGCCTCCTCGGCTGGGGTGGGGGATCTCTAGCAAAGCCGGAGGCCACAGTGGCCTCATGGTAAATACGGTCCCTCCTCCAGGCTCGGAGCTGCCGGACCAAACCAGCCGGTTCCCAGAGTCACAGCAGCTCTGACTGGCTGTGCACGTTGGAGGCGCAGGAAGAGGGCCAGACACACAGTGCAGCCCCCACACGTAATGACAGGAAAAGCCATGCCGTGGTGAGCTTCAGGGTGTACGTGGGTGTGTGTCTCTGTGTGTGTGTGTGAGCCGTGGGTGCTGGGGTGAGGTCGGACCTGGACACAGGACAGTTCCGGGCACGCGGTGATAGGTGAATCCTCTGGGATCTGATGTGCACTTGTGTGTGCATCAAGGGACGACGGAGGGAAATCTGGGTGAACAGCAGAGCCCCACGTATGTAAAAACAGGAGAAGCCATGTCCTAACGGGGTTCCGGTGAATATGCATGTGTGTGCACGTGTGCACAAGTGTGCATGCTTACGTGCGTGTGTGTGTGTGCCTTTGTGCACTGAATGGCAGAGGATGGAAGACAGGATAAAGCCTGCAGCTAGCCAAATACATGTAACAGGAGAAGCCATGTCACCAAGGGGTCTGTGTGTGAACATGTGTGTAAACGTGTGTGTAGGCGTGTGCACAGTGGAGAGCAGGGGGAGGCCAGGACCAGAAAGTCGTGGGACACAGGGCCATGCATGATGTAGACAAGGAGCCATGTGCAGCTGGGGCTTGTGAGTGTGTGTGCCGCACACGTATGTTCCCGCTCACAGTGGGAGCCGAGGCAGTCGGGAAGGCAGGGCACAGGGTCTGCCGGCACTTGTGTCACGGGGAAATCTGTCCCAGAGATGCCCCGCCGTTGCGTGGGCATACGCACCAGAGACTGGCCACGTGGAGGCAAAGCCCTTCAGGGACTCGTGGCTTTGCCGCAGATGGCATGTCCTGTTTGAAGGGAAAACTTTTGGCTTTTTTGCAAAGTCCAGGTAAGGATTCTAAGGAGGGAACTTGCCAAGTTGCTGTCAGCAAACACAGTCATTAACCACTGTCTCCCTCTGTCCAATACAGTTTGGCAGCACACGCCTCGTTCGTGCGCACATCTCGCACGTGTGTGCTTGTGTGCGTGCCACTTTGTGAGCGTGCCATGTCCTTCCGAGGCTATGTACATATGTGGATTGTGGTGGGAGGAAGGAAAGGAAGTGGCGTAGGGTAGGAAGACTTTTCACAAAAGGAGTGAAGAACGGTGGTAAACAGAGGCACAATTCAACTGGGAATCCCCAGAAGTTGCCGCATGGTCTATAGACCCGCCGGCGGGAGCGGGACGGTGCGCCGCCCGACCTCCTGTCCCACTCGAGCCTCACTTCGGCAGGCGCGGCTGACGCTCAGCCTCCAGCTATGTCCTGTGTTTGTGTTCGGATTGCAGCGGGGACAGCTTCTGCCAAGTGCGAGCCGCGTCTCTCCCAGGGGCCTGGAGGCGACACTACATCTGGGAGGTGGGAGGTGCAAGGCAGTGTTCCAGCGAGGCAGGTTGTCACAGTGAGGCCTGCCCTGCTCGCGGGTGTGGAGCTGAGCTGCACCGGGTGCACGCGTGTGGCGTGTGACGTGCACTCGTGCAGGCGCCGAGGGCTGACGGGAGGCAGGAAAGCTGGTCCGTGCGGAGCCGAAGACCCACCTGCGTGAGCAGGTGCCGCGTGTCCTTGCTAACCCCACGTGCCAGCCCTGAACACAAAATGCCCCCACCTCACCCCAAAACACCAGCGCCTCCTCTCTCCTGGCTCAAACTGGCCACAGTGAGGGGCGGCAGTGAGAAGACACCCCACCGCCACCCCGCCGGGGCCGGGGCATTGGGACAGCGAGCCCGCCTAATCTCTCTCCCCTTGACCTCCTGCTGACCACTCTGCTCTGGACAGAGAAGGAAAGTCCCGAGAGTTTTGTTCAGGTGGCTCCACTCTGCAGGTGTCTGCCAAGAGTGGAAGTGTCCCCGTGGCCGATTAGCTGGACTCTGAGTCTCTAAGGGGTGGAGGGCCGCCCCCGATGGAAGCACACGCCTGGCTGCCCCCAGGCCCCAGGAACTAGAAGACGGGACCCTGGCCCGGGCTGGGGGAAGGGCCAGACAGGTTGGAAGCTGCCCCATCTCTGCCAGGTACACACTCACCAAGAACGATCAGGAGCTCCCTCCCTGCCTGCTTTTCCGGGGGTGCTGAACAGGGGGTGCAGCTGCTGCTTCATCGCTCAGCATGAAGTCGACCCCTCCCTGCGCCATCCCCAGCTATCTGCACAAACATCCGAAAACAGGCCTCACTATGTGGCCCACATCTGGAACGGTCCTCTGTGAACACCCATCTATGAAGGGCCTAGGGGTCTGGCCAAACAGCTGTATGGACTCAACATCTGGGGTGGGCCCAGCCCCACGGTCAGATGAAGAAATGGGTCCAACTCTGAGGGCAGCTCTTGGGATTAGACACATCTGGAAGTCCCAGGTTGGTTGGACACATCTGGAATGGGCTCAGCCACTCGCCACAGTGGAAGAGCCCTGCCCTCTGTCCCCAGGCCAGTTTGAATCAAGCCCTCCTTTCAGTCCTGGGTTTGCCCTGGACTTAAAATGTCAGAGCTGAGGTCATCCATGAAGTCACAAAACTGTTTTAGGTAGAAGGTTAATGTTCTGTACAATATATATATGAATGTAAAAATATATATATATATACTGTATATATATATATATATATGCACAGTGTATATATGACCTGTAGCCCATGTGTATACAACCCTTCCCCGCACGTCTGCACACAGAGTGTACATAACCCAGCCAGCATGGGTGGGGACCCGGTGAGAGACGGGGGCCACAGCAGCAAAGTCTGGGACGGAGGTGGCAGGGAGCCCCTGTGGGTGGGGAAGGCCTTGCATACGTCGGAGCCTCAGACCCTGGAGAAGAGGGCAGAGCTGCATGGGGCTGCCGGGTGGCCTTGCACAGCCGGTGCCTCCTGGGGAAGGAGGGCAGGAGTGGCCCAGAGGCCCTGTCTCCATCAGAGTCTGGAGCAAGACAGCCAGGCATGTTGGAGAAGCAGCATCATGCTAGTACTCGGCCCCGGTGCCGATGTTACAGTCTAGTCCCAGGGTGATCAATAGAGAGCAGAAGGGCTGGGAAAGAAGGGACCCCCCCCAGGCAGGCTTTCATACCTGCCTGCAAGTTGCCAGGTAGGTGTCAGGCTCTGCCCCTAATATCCTGGATGGGGGGGCGGGCAGAGGCCTCTGCCTCAGAGTGTCACCTGCACAGAGAGGTGACCACAGCCTGCTCACCCCACAGCTCTCAGCTACATGAAGCACGTTCTAAAGAGAATGGCGTGAGGGCATTGCTAGCATGATGATACAATGTCCTGATGCCCTGGGTATTGGGCCTGCCCTTGTCCCCCATGCCTTCTAGAACAGTGGACCTCAGATCACTCCCCAGTTTGTCTCTATTTTATGGATCAAACCCTGAGGCCTCCAGATACAGGGAAGCAGCCATAGACTCAGTCAAATGTCACACCTCAGACAACCTCCCCAGCTACATTTGACCGGAGACCAGCTGTCAGGGAGTGACCACGCAGCCAGAGAGGCGAAAGATAAGAGGCAACAAGGCACTTCCTGTCCTGGCATGGCCCATGCCATCTGTCTGCCCTTCCCTCCCCTGTGGCACCTTCCCCAGCAGGGCAGTTGGCAGAGAGCCTCCCCCGGCAGGCTGCAGACCTCTGTCCCTGTCTCGCCCGGTCCGCCTGTTCTCAGCAGTTGCAGTCCCTTGCCCCTTTCCCAGGTCTGAGCGTCTCTGGAGCATGCAGGGGAGAAGAGCTGGGTGGCTTCCTTGCGGTCGGTGGCCAGGCGGCAGGCTGGGCTGTACGTAACTCTGGGTCTGCCCATGGGCCCTGGCCAAGCACGTCTGAATCCAGCCTCCCGGGGGGAGGGGGGGTCCTGTCCTGGCTCCACAGAGGCCGGCGGTTCCAGGGGCCCCCACGCCACTGTGCTTTAAGTCCCCAGCCCACCTCTGCCTGGGCCGACTTCCTGGCTGGGCCTCCCACAGGGGGACCTCAGTTCCCAGCCCCCGGCCCGAGCCCCCAGGCAGCACCGTGGGCCTCTGAGACCCTGGCCTGTCCCACTACCCAGACCAGAGTGCCTGGACGCCCCCCACTCCCGCTCAACGTGGTTCCCACACACTGGTCTCTGGGCCATTCAGGGGATGCCCTTTGTGGACATGCAGAATTTCTATGAATATAGTTTTTTGTAAACATTTTGTAACAATTTGGGTTTCATAGTAACTGTGTTACTTGCCAATCATTCTAGGCTGATGTAAATAAATTTCCAAACAAATCCAATTATTTTCCTTTTTAAGACACTGTGATATATCAAAGTGCACAGTTTGCTGTATGAAGTAATATGGTTTTAAATTTTAAATAAAGAAATGTTTCTAGAAAACAGGGCCTCCTTGAGATGTGTTTTCTGTTTCTATTCTCTCCTTAGAACCAGGGGGCGCTGGGCAATGAACTTTGGCCGTCTCCCCCAGGCATGACTGTCCCAGGCAGGAGGGCTGGTGCAGGGGAGGGGTGGCTCCAGCCAGGCTGCTGGTTCAGACATTGCAGGTACAGGGTCTGTCCTGGAGACTGTCTGTCTGACCTCTGTCTGCCCTTCTTTGGGGCATGTCAGTCCCCAACTTATCTCCATCCACGTGCTCCCTTGGGAGTTGCTGCATCCTCACGTGGCCCTGTCCCTTTGGTCACAGTTGGTGAGGTTGGGCGAACATCTTTTCCAAGCTTGGCCAGAGATCTTGCCTGAGCTTCTTCAAACTGGAAGAGAGGAAGCTTTACCTTGGAGATGGAAACTGCACATTCAATCAGAGTTCACATAACCCCAATGTCACTTGTTCTGTGCCTTTTCGGGTGGGTATACCAGACCTCCAAGCCCCTGCAAAGTCCAAGACAGACCCCCTCGTGCCACCCCCATCTTAGCGACCAAAGGCTTTTGGAGAGCTGC